AGAGAGAGAGAGAGAGAGAGAGAGAGAGAGAGAGAGAGAGACTGAAGCAAGAACAGTGAAAGCTCCCAGCTTGGGCAACTTAGCAATGTCCTGTCTCAAAAATGAATGAACAAACAAATAAACGAAAGAATTAATGAATGGGGCTCCTGATGAAGTTCAGTAGTAGAGCACTTGCCTAGAATCCTCTGTTGAGGGTTTGAGGGTGTGGCTCAGCATCCTGGGTCCCAGGATGGCAAAAACATTAAAAGGAGAAAGTCAAACAGACAGGCCCAGCGGATCACAGGGGATGAAATGCTGCCATTTCATGGGCAGCCATTTCAAGGGGCAGGGGGACAGCAACATGGAAGGAATTGTTTGTCCCAGGGCCCCACAGGACTCTGCCTCTAGACCGTTGTGTAGGATCTGTGTGTACACTGTCTGTGCACTCGCTAGTACTAACACCCCATCAGGATCTCACATCAGTGTGTCACACTTGTGCTTCAAATCACTGCAGCCCCAACATTCCATCAAAATAGCCACTCTTCATTTCCTCTCCAAGATACTCCCCTCTGGTTCTAGTGTCCTTCGGTCATACCAGCCTGTCGCTCTCTGTCCCCTCAGCCCTCCCCTCCCAGGATAATTCATCTGCAGGTTCCTATCATCACCCCATATTCAACTCCTGATTTCACATGCTGAACCCCCATCTCTCCTGACCCCTCCACTCCCTCCTGAAGGGTCACCTTGGGGCTTCCGTTCACCCGTTGACTCTCCCCACTTAACACTAACACAGGGCATGCCCCACGGCTGTCCACTGAATTTGGAATGAAATGTGAATCTTTTTAGGACCTTAAGAGCGCCCTCAAATCTGCCCTGGCCCCCTACATGTCCTGTACTGACAACCACCCCCAGTGCTCCTGGAGGTGGGGGGAAGAATAGGGAGAATCCCAGCTGCCAGCCTATCTGGTCCCAGCATGATGTGTAATTTGTCCCAGACAGTGTGACTCGCCTTGGAGGGAAATGGAACCCAGCCCACTATTGAGGGACACAATCTCTGAGCAGGTACCCCAAGACAGTGGAAGGCGTTCCATATGGAACAGCTTGAGCAAAGACTGATAGAGGAAGTATTTAGACTTCTAATGCCAGTGAGCAGGGAGATGCTGGGTGTGTCCATACCTCAGTTTTCACATCTGTAAGGAAGGATGACAGCGGTCCCATTTCACAGGCTGGAAATGTGCCTCTAACTTGCTTCAAGCAGAACAGAGAAATGTGCAGAATTTTTGCTCACTCTTTCCGTCCTTCATTGGGATTTCACAGCAGTGTGCAGAGAATGGGCTGGCTGCAGGGCCCGTGAGACTTGAGGGTGTCAGTGAGGTCTTGAGCCCATCCAGATGGGGAGGCCTCGGGCAGGGCTCAAGCAAAGTTAGCTATAGAGCACATCCACAGATGCCCAGAGTGACCTCGACAGATTGTGCAGCTGGGACTGAAGCTGCAGCCTTCGAGGAGGAGGAGGAGGAGGAGGAGGAGGAGGAGGAG